CTCAAGCCATATGGTACTTTGCTTTCTGTCCAACAAAACGGAAAACAACGAACGAAAGCGAGAACAGAGGTTAAAATAATCAAAATAACCACAGAAACAAATAAGAATTACCTAAAATGTTAAGTAAATAAAAGTAAAAAAAGATCGTCTGTTTTCTTTTTTTTTTTTTTTTTTTGCTATGATGGTAGATTCAGATAACCTTAAAAACAGAAATATCAAATCTTTTTTCCCTAGATTTTCATTTTTTTAAAAAAATTTTTTCAGCTTTTTAGTATCTTTGATGAGCTATCGTTGTACAGGGTGGCCCGGAAGTTTTGTCACCCTAACCCTCTCTTCCAAACTGTAGGAGCTCGTGTCAGCCATCTGAAATAAAAAAAAAAAATTACTTTGTGTACGGGTGACAAGATTTTCGGACCACCCTGTAGGTTTTTAAGGCAGTTATCATCATCATCATCCTTCGACCTCCCCTATGTTTGCTCCATTGACAATCTCTTCCACAAGGTTCTTTCCTTCATTACTGTCCCCAGACCCCAATGTCCAACACGGGACATGGTGTCTGGGAAAGTCTATTTTTGCGAGTAGACACTTCCAGAAGGATGATTTCCCTGTCCGCTCGGTGGAAGTGGCCGGCAAACTGTAACTGCTTTGGATCCCCAACTGAATTTCTGGATTTTTCTAAGTAGATTTATATGTACGTTTGTCGAGCATTAATCTTGCTAGAAAAGGGGAAATTTTTTTAATCATTACTGATGAGTCCTTTATCGTGAGAGTAGAAGATTCCTCTAGTGTTGTAGAATGACCTGCATCTAAAGTTTGTGCATTCCCTATGTCGAGTGCCACGAGATAAGCAGATTCTATTTCGGGATGACCTTCCCCTAGATAGTTTTACCTCCAGGCCGATTTTGAATTTGCCACACAATGCTATAAAACCTAGTCTGTCCTTCTGTTTACACATAGCTGGTGGGTGAGAGGAAGAGGATTCGTACCTTTCTCAAGGGTATTAGCACATAAGTGAATGTAATGGATCCGACTGGAATTTGAACTAGGCTGTCCGATTCCTCAATACGACCCGCTAACGACTGTGCCTCCTATATATATATATATATATATATATATATATATATACAAGGGGGTTAACCAGAGATAATAAACTGCAAAATGGTGTTAAAAGTTAGTCAACTGCACTTTAAAACATTGCTACTATACTCGTAATAAATTGATGATATGCGATTTTATTACAATGTTATCAGATAAATGACATGACAAGTTAATCGTCGGGATTTTGTAGCGGTTTTATAATCAATATGTCTCTTATATGAACTATTATTTGAGACACAACCACTTTCACTCTCTCTCACTATCTGTATCTCTTTATCTAAATTTAAATCTCTTTATTGTTAAAAGTTGAACCGAAATACTAAACTAGTTAGGTAGAACAGAATTTTAGTGGCCAGAAGTGTTTAAAACTCATTTAATGTAGGATTGTAATCTCCAACTATATACCTGGAATCGTGAATTTACTGGAGATCACCATCAGCGTCATCACCAACTAGAAGAATATTACCATTCGCGGAATGGCCAGTCAAGAGGTTATCATTAAGAAAGAAAGAAAGAAAGAAAGAAAAGAAAGAAAGAAAGAAAGAAAAAGGGGATATCACTAGTAAAGAAAGAAAGGGAAAGAAAGAGGATATCACTAGCAAAGAGAGAAAGAAAGAAAGAATGAAAGAAAGGAAATATCACTAGCAAAGTGAAAAAGAAAGAAAGAGAAATAAAGTAAGAGGAAACAAAAACAAAGAAAGAAAGAAAAAGAAAAAGAGAAAAAGCGGATATCACTAGCAAAGAACGAAAGAAATAGAAAGAAAGAGGGTATCACTAGCAAAGAAATAAAGAAAGAGAAAGAAAGAAAGAAAGAAAGAAAGAAAAAAAGAAAGAAAAAAAGAAAGAGGAAAATGAAGAAAGAAAAAGGATATCATTAGCAAACAGAGAAAGAAAAAGAATGAAAGAAAAAAGTGGATATCACTAGCAAAGAACGAAAGAAATAGGATATCACTAGAAAAGAAAGAAACAAGAGGGCTCATTGGCAAAGAAAGGAAGAAAGAAATTGAAAGGAAGAGAAAGAAAGAAAGATATCACTAACAAAAAAGAAAGAAAGAAAGAAAGAGAAAGAAAGAGGATATCGCTAGCAAAGGAAGAATGCGAAAGAAAGAAAGATACCACGAGCAAATAAAGAAAGAGTAAGGATATCAGTAGTAAAGAATGAAAGAACGCTAATGAAAGAAAGAAAGAAAGAAAGAAAGAGGAGATCTCTAGTAAAGAAAAACAAAAGAAAGGGGATATTACTAACAACGAAAGAAAAAAAAAAGAGAAAGAATGAAAGAGGTTATCACTAGCAAAGAAAGAAAGAGAAAGAAAAGTGAAAGAAAGAGAAAGAAAGAAAGAAAGAGGATATCAACACTAAATAAATGAAGAAAGAAAAAAGAAAGAAAGAAAAATACCATTAGTAAAGAAAGAAAGAAAGAAAGAAAGAAAGAACATCCCAAAACCAAACGGCAAAATCGCCGAACATGTGAATCTATCCTCACCTGAAGAGTGGACATCCAAACCTGTAAAATCGCCAAAAAAGGATGATACCACCATTCGCATAATCATCATGAAGAGGATAGTACTATCTAGGGAATCGGCAATACCCCCACCCCCCAAAAAAACCTTACTTTTCACGTAATTGCCAGTAAAGTTCAGCATTCTTAAGATTTTGCTTATCTTTTGGAAGTCCTTTACGATATCGCACTGTGCTTTCGGATTTCCATATCTCCAAACCCTATCATCGTCTGTTACTATTCTATCAAAAGAGTGAAAATTACTTGATTCTGACGTCCACAACATGGAACACATCGAATGGCCGACTCATTCTATGGCTGCAAGAAGTATCTGATTTCTGCTATTTTTTATTCTGCCCACGATCAACATGGCCGGTGCTAAACTCCGTAAAAAATAAATACTCTACGCGTTCTTGGGCTTACGTCTTCCACTGACATGAAGTGGGGCGACTGTATTGTAACTGTTGTTCTTGGAAAGTTGGTTCCATGTCTCGTGACAGACACTTCTTCTCCTCAGAATAAATCTTGCACATTTATAAATCTACCATTTGTGCATGCGTTAAATATTACTGTCATATCGGGTCTGGTGTTCCTGCTGCAAGGTGCGATGGATAAATTGTCGTCTAAATTACGCAAAAATGAATTTAACATTGGCATCACATTTTACCAAAAAAAAAAATATCTTGAAATACCAAAGAGTAATTATATTCAATAAACTCGCCATTACCTTCCAACACGTTCTCGAGATGACTTCGGAATCTTCTACAACTCTTTTGGACGGTCTCTTTGTTTACGTTGGTTAATGCTGCCATAATCCCTGCTTCAGTTCATATTTTATGTTAGAAAGAGCTTTGTTAGTCTGTCACTCAACTACCCTCCACACATAATAATCAAGGGTGTTGCAGTCTGGGGAGTTAGGTGGCCAGATGTAAGGGATAATGTGGTCACAGAATTAATCTGACAGCCATGGCCGGGTTCTCCTGCTTGTGTAGCATGGTGCAGAATCCTGTTGCCACATATGGAATCTTCCAACAGCCACCCTCTTGACTCAGGGCAGTAATACTTCCTCAAGGCACTTGATGTAGTCCTCCGTGTTGAGTCTGAGGCCCACGCCAACAAATTTAGTAGTTCTTTTCTTATCAGAACGATCTGAATGAGTTTTCCGAGCTGCCGTACCAAATTTAATGTTAATAACTATACAACAAATACGCATGTGTAAATTTTGTTAATGTTTTGCGTCTCTCAAACTTTATCACATATTACTCTTACATTAAGTAAGTTTGGTCACCCCTGTTCTGTAACAAAAATTCTCTATGGTAATGGTAATATTAGCTGTTTCCTTATAAGGAAACATTTGGTATTCATTGATCGAGCAGCCAGTGCTGTTTTCGGTTGTAATTTTATAAAATCTTTCTCTGAAAAATTTTTTTTAGGAAAATAGGTTTCTTGAGTCCAGTAGCTGTTATTGTTCTTTCCAGTGGAGGTTTCCTTCCGAATTTGAAGTGATTTCGAACGTTAACATCTTGATTATGTCATTATTTTCTCTTCAGGTTACATGTGTTATCCGATTTAGTTGTTGCTTCCGTTTTTTAGTTCTCAAGTTATATTGTTTGGTACCTTTTCTTTGTGATTCTGTAGCGCCAGGCTACAATGTTCAAAGAATGATGTTCCTTGTCAAGACACTCAGGCTTTGCTCGCTCAGATGCTTTTCTCACCATTGGATGGTATACGGTTAAGTCAAGAAAAGATGACAAGTGGGTAAAGTTCAAGTGTTTTTTTCAGGAATCCTTTGAACGCCATTTTGTAAAGCATGTCTGGCAAAGAACTCTCCGGCTAAAGTTTCAAGAAACTCAGTCAATACGTTTTGTATTTTACTTGCCTAATTTTTATTATTTTTCTTTCTATACATTAACCACTTGGAAACGGCTGACGTGGCATTAAGAGACAAACACTTGGGTCTTTTTGCCGTGCGAAGTAGATAGTAACTCAAGAAAATTTGTAATAAAGACATCGAAAGCAATATTGCGGCTAACGTGATATCTCGCAAAGTTTTTTATTTTTTCAATCTTAAAACCCACGCTGTATTCCTCAGTGATACCAAATCATATCTCCTTATTTATTAAGAATTTAAAGGTTAACAAGATATCTCGCTGGAGATAATAAATTGTCTTGTTTAAGATAATGGAAGTATATAACATGCGCGCTGCTTCCTTTATTTCACCAATCTACACTCGACATCATACATCTAAAGTAATTGAACAACTTTAGATTATTACATACAATGCAACTAGATGCACTTCGACCAGGTGGAATCGTTAGTAAGCCTGTCTCGCCAGATCGATTATGACTGAATAGTGAGTTCGGTCCTCACTGGGTGTTCCCCAGTTTCAGCTATGTGCCGCATCTAAGCTATTCTTGAAAATCACCATGTCACGATACAAATATAAACAAACAATATGGTGGGATAATAAAGCTGGAAAAGCAAGGATATTATTAAGCAGCTAATCAGAACGGGTAAGGTATGAATCCTCCTCTTCTCAATCTATTGGTAAATAACAGGACAGACCAGGTACTGTATACTAGGAAGGCAACTGGTCTACCTTAGAAAGAAATGGCAACCCACTGCTGGAAAAATTCTGCCTCGTCGAAAGATACATGATCGCCTAAATTTCTATCACGCATGGCACTTAACTCGCTGAATCACAACGACACACGATGTACTTATCTATTAGGCGCAATTAGATGAGATACCAAGCAAGCATAAAAATTTAAATATCTGGGAAGTCTTCTAACAGAGGTCGGAAAACGCGGTTTTGGAATCAGAAGACGCATTGGGATAGCCAAAGATGAATTCCAATATCTAAGCAAAGTATTAAAAGACACAAAAATTTCGTTAGAAACAAAGAAAAGAGTACTGAACTATTATGTGATATCTACCCTACTGTATCGTAGTGAATGCTGGACAATTTCTTGAAAGATGAAGAAGAGACTTGAAGCATCAGAAATGTGATTTGTCGCATCCGAATTTGTGACACTTGCTGAATTAGGTCCCTTGCTTCGAAAAAGGATTTAACACTGACAAATCCTTCAGTTCCTCAGAGTTGATGCTTGTCAGAAACATAAAACCCGCATGAATCTTTTCCAGATGTACTTCAGAACCTTGGCTAATTTTCTGTAGCAAACTAAAACAAAAAATTTCCATTTCTGTTGTAACACTTATTGTATATAATATAATCACTTATCGGCATTGTGCCATATCCTGCCTCGTGGGGAGGTCGGATGAATACCGGCTCTTCTTCCGGAAGAACTGTCTGCCTTCGGGCAGTGAGAAACCCAGACGAGGCTATGCCTACGGGTAGATTCTCGTCAGGGGAGATAGACAAACCCGATCCCTTGTATCCGGGGTCTACGGGGAATTTTTTGCCGGAGCCTACGGGCTCAGAATTGCCTCACGTAAAAACCGGTCTTGTGCCACATCCTGCCTCGTGGCGAGATCGGGTAAATACCGGCTCTTCTTCCGGATTGCACTGGTGGAAGCTGCCTCAAAGGAAGTAGCAGTTGACATCCACCTAGACACTCTTTATTGATTGTTCATTTTGTTTTTTTCTCTTCCCTTTCTCTTTCAATCTTTTTTTTTTTTTTTTCGGGGGAAATGCTTTTCCAACTTTCTCAGTTAGAATTCTTTTTCTAGGCTATTCTTTCCTTTCGCTCCCGTCTGGCACTCGATTAATTTCCTGGCTTAATATTGAGCAATCCGTCCCAATGCTTGTTCATTTACTAGAATTGTTTTGTTAATTTCTAACACGTCACGTTCAGATGTGTTTTCTAGCTCATCGCCATTGTTTTTATATTTCGCCATTTCCTGCCTGTTCAGTTTCTTTTCCCGCTAATTCTTACTTGGCGGTAAAACACAGCGTTCGAGTATCTCTGCGCATGACAGTTTTCCTGTACAACACTAATCGCCCCTGTGCACCAAACGTCATCTGCGACATCAACAATGTTTTCTGTGCATCTCGCCATTTCCGGCATGCACGATTGATTTCCCGCCAAAATATCGGTCTAGGTCTTATCAATCAACATGCGGCCATTTTGAATGCATTTGTTATGGATCATACTTTACCATCCACCCCTCAAGGATTTTAAGTGATTTCTTTCGTGCTTTATCAACGAAATTTGTTTTATCCTTCCTCGACGATATATTATCCCAAGACTATATAATGAATTTACTGTTTCTCTCCGAGGATTATTTATTTAATTTATTTGTATTACTACTAAAATTAATGAGTTTTACTACGAACCCTGTTCCCTTTTGTCCAGGACTATATTTGATTTGTCCTTCAACGATGTTACTCGGTCATCGATGTCTGAGATTTCAGCTTGTACTTAACTTCTTTCGTCAGGGATAATACCAAAATCGATCTTTCATCGACGTTACTTAAGTACTAATGTCACAGATTTTCAACCAGAAAACTCCATCTCCTTTCGTTCAAGAACCTATATATCAAATACACGAACACTTTCTAAGGACATTCCGCACTTAAATTGTTTTATACTCCTTATTTCAAGGACTAATAAATTATTCATTTACATGAACACTCTTCACAACTTGGAAGACCTCTAAGTGTTGTTTGATATTTTCAGCACATTAGCGAAATCATCTATTCTTTTCCTGTAAATGGACTGCTGCATTTAGTTGTTGATTTGTTGCCCAAAATAAAATTTGGCTTTATTTTAAATCAAGAACTTTGCCTTTTTGTTTCTTCTCAACTTAATTTCTTTCGAATAATTCTAGTTTGCGGACGCTTCTCTCCAACACCTTCGCAACAGGTTCTACAGAAAGATGATGAGGATACGACGGATTAAATATGTGTGCAACGACGAGATTTTAGAGAAAATAGAAACAAAAAGAAAACTTATATATAATTATATCTAATTATTATTTTTATTATAAGAGATTATAACAAAAACATGTTGAAATCGCTACACAAAAGCTACCATGT